AGACAGGGTTTCTCTGTGTAGCTTTGCGCCTTTCCTGGAACTCACTTTGGAGACCAGGCTGGCCTCGAACTCACGGAGATCCGCCTGCCTCTGCCTCCCGAGTGCTGGGATTAAAGGCGTGCGCCACCACCGCCCGGCTGTTCTCCTCTCCTTTATGTTGATATTTATTATCAACAATTTTATCTTTATCCCTTCTGAGCCTGTCATGTAGATTTACAATTATTGCTTCATGTACTCATCCTTTAGTTTGTCCTTTAAAAGGAGTTATAAGTGGCCAAGTTGCAGAGAATAAATGTCAATGGAATGGGATATCTATATCTCACCCTACCCTCAAAACTCAGGGACCACCACAGAAGAGGGGATGATAAGACTGTAAGAGGTTGGGGAGGACTGAGACAATACAGCATCTTCTGAACATGACAGGACGACCTCACACATGAACTCACAGCAGCTGAGGTTGCCTGTACAAGATCTGCACAAGATCAAGCCAGTCAGTATCCCAACATTGGGCAGAGCTGCTCATGAACCCTTACCCCAAGATGAGGGGCTACTGATGGCTTCTGGGGAGGGAGGCTCAGTTATCTTTAAGGGTGTGGCCCCTGGGGGATCAACCACATGCCAGTGGATGGTCCTACACTCATGAGTATGCGGACAGTACTAATTAGACTCAGTGTGTTATTAAAAATACACAAAAAATGACAAGAAGTTCAGAGAGTGTGGAGAGTGGGTCTGGAAGGAGTTGGGGGAAGGATGGGGCTTGAATATGATCAAAATATATGTATGTATGAAATTATCAAAGAATTAATAAAATATTTATTTTAAAGGAGTTACAAGTAAAAATACATTGATATTCTCTTCCATATTTAACTGTATGGTATTTACCAGTGTGCTTTATTCCTTCATGTTTTTCATATTATCTGGTCTCTCTGTTCACCTGAAGGACTCCTTTCAGTGCTTCTTAGAAGGACCTACCTACTAGAGCGGAACTCCTTCAGCTTCTACTTCTCAGGAAATGTATTAGTTTACTCTATTTGGGGGTATAGTTTGGCCAGATGTAAAATTTTTAGTCGACTTTCTTTTCTCTCTGAGCATCATGGCTCTGCCATCCCACAGTGTCTGATACCCATAGTTCCTGGTATGAAATTAGTGTAGTCTCATTGAGGATCCCTTGTACGAGATGTCACTTTTCTCTTTGTGCCTTTCATGGAGGGTTTTTGGTGTCCGACTATGGGTCTTTTTCAGTACATCCTACCTAGATTCTATTGAGCTTCTTCGATGGTTGACTAGGTTGATAGTTTTCATAAGTTTGAGAAGGTTTCTGCTGTTATTTCTTCACAGACCTCCTCCTCTGCTTCCAGAATTCTCATTATGTGTAGTTTATATTCTTGATGGCTCCAGAGATCTTTGAAGTTCCATTTATTTCTCTTCATCCCATTTTCTTTGTGTTCCTCAATTGGCCTGTCTTCAACGTCACTGATTCTTTCTT